CTGAGTTGTAGCCATTTCAAGTTGACCCTGTGTCAAAATATAGCGGCTACACGATTCTGTTGGCAAAAAAATGGAAAAATGGCATTTTCACAAAAGCGAAAAACAAACAAAACAGCAGCATCATTGCCACATTGTTCGAAAGTATGCCCAGAATTTGGTTTACAAATTCTGAGCATACTTTCAGGCGCATCATTTAAAATGATACCCATGTGAATGTTATATTGCTCTTGATTTTAATGTAACGCCTAAAAGTGTGCTCCGAATTTATAAACTAACATAAAAACACTATGGTAGCGACGATCTGGTAACATTGCAGTCAGTATTTTATGTTTTTGCCCATGTGCGATTTCTTCATTTTTCCAATTTGTGGTACCAGGTCAACAGAATCGTGTAGCCGCTACATTTTGACACAAGGTCAATTTGAAATGGCTATAACTCAGTAACGAATGTACATATCGACATAACACTTTTACCTTTGGTTAGGGGAGATTGTGTAGTTTGTATGTGTATCGATAAAGAAGTATTTTCACCACGGAGAACTATGAAAATCATGATCATTTGCCAAAACGTTAAATTAGCTTTGAATGCCTGGAAATTTGTGTATTTGAAAAATTTTGATATTAGATTGTTGCTGAATGGTTTGTTGTCATTGGAAAATTCATTAATTTTGAGAAAAACAATAACGATTGTCGGAAAAATTATGGAAATAAGGAAAACATGTTGTGGTGCAATTTTATCAAGTGGGGGACATCATTTAAATTGGCAAAATGCTGTTCGCATTCGCATTTTCCAATCAAAGTGGTTGAAATTTGATATTTAAAATTTCAAAGGATAAAATACCACCTCTTGGCAGATATTTTTGTTAGTTAGTATAGAAGTATATGTTCTGACGACTAGTTCCTATATAAATAAGTTTCCCGAATGATTTTCGATATTTTAAAGGTCCTCACCGTAGTGTCCTAACCAAAGTGATTGGAATTGGGTATTTCGGTTTTTCAAATTATAAAAAAGCTTCTCATAGCACTACAGAGGTCCATGTTTTTTTATCTAGCTTCCATGTAATGGTAACGTGTCCTTTTTGGTATTTTGAGAGTCACATCTAAATGTTTCCACCGAATGGAAGAATATCCATCCTCTCCCCTTTTGTAATCATCTTGATGCTCCTCGTCCTGAGTTCAAAAACCTGGAAGATTATTTTCAATATTTGGCCATGTTTTTACATAGCTGCCCTCTTTTAGGTATATTTAAGGTTATAGCCGTATTATCGAACCGAGGCATCTGTCAATTCACATTTCGGTTTACCAGAGTATAAAATTCCTTTCGGCCAGTATATTTTTTTAATAAAGTAAATATAATTATATAACAATGGATCTGCCTCATTTTATTCCTAAATATTTTCCAGAGATGAAAAACCCCCGTGCAGAAATTTTACAATGTAGGCTGATGACTTGACACATGGGTCTACGTGTTTCTTATTAAGGTTTTTTGAAAGTGCCAACCTCAGTGGCTGAACATTTAGCTTCTCATGTTCTCAGAGGTTAAAATACCTCCATACCGAAATTGTTTCAAAATTGGTCTATGTTTGGACATAACGTGGAATATATGGAAATTAGGATTTTCAACTAACCACTTCGAAAGTACCAGAGGGGCGCCCAGCACCTAGCAGTAAGTATATTTCGGTACATCGTTGAGTTCAAATGCATTAACCCAACGGCTACTTAACCGATTTTTATAAATTTTGCACAAATGGTTCGAGGGAATTTTAAAGTTTTATTCCATATTGGGAATACAACTTATGTTATATAAGAAAAAATTAGTGAGGCTATGTCAATAATGTGCCCCATCGAAGTATTGGTTTTAGAACTCACGTTTATTTGGACCAAATCAATTTCAGACAAATATCCGTTCACCTGTCCGTGAGTGTTGTCTGACTGGTGGTTGATCGCAATACCTTTCCAAGATCATAACCTGGTAATTACCTTGCTATCAGTCTGGTTGGAATTAAGATCCTCTAAAGGCTCTATTTTGTTTTAATACGCGACTCAATGTTTGACTTTTAAGTCTATATTTTCTAGCGGCGGAAGTTGAGGTCTCAAGGCCACATACACCAGCAGAAATAGCTTTTTTCTATCCATTTTCGTATGGCCTTAGATATGTAATTTCGAACCATATTAAAAGATTATTTTTAAAAACAAACAAAAAAAATTGTAAGGAAATAATATTGCACTATTTGTATATGGCCGAATGTGCCCACTTCAAAATGCCGAATTTACCCCGAAGGTACTTTTGATAGTTTTTTTAATTTTTTCTATCAATCTTCTAAAAAACATTATATTTTTAATTATTTGTATAAGAATGTACATTGTAATTAACGACTTTTTAATAAAAACAGCTTTGCGACAGTTATTTATTTTGATATTCGATACCTATGTATCTCTGCAAAAAGAGAGCTTGTGGACCTACTACAAAGAAATATGTCGGTCGGTGGTAAGCTATGCGGCACCATTGTGTTTCGCGAATGTAGCGATACGCAGAGGAAGAACATTTAAACCTGTTAGAATGCCGCTCTAAGAACTGCAACTGGGTGCCACCTTATGACGCCTAGTAGATGCAATAGAAATCAGGGGCGGGCGTCTACTGTGAAATGCTGGGCCTTGAGTTAACCTACAAGCTGGATTGTAACTGTAGTATTTTCCAAGCTGAAATCTTCGCGATTTGGAAGGCAGCGGAATTGATAAAAAGTCTGGATGCAGAGGTCGTTGAACCGGTGGCTATCTTTGCGGATAGTCAAGCAGCTCTTAAAGCCATCAAATCTTGCTATATCAAATATGAGGCCGTCCTCAAGTGTAGAGAAGCTTTGGAAGAACTTACAGCTATCGGCTGTGTTGGGTACCAGGACATTGTGACATCTTGGGTAATGAAAGAGCGGACGAATTAGCTAGACGAGGATCTCAATCCACAGATCTAGTAACTGATGACTCAATCAAATCACCCATATGTCATCTTTATCGCAATTTTGAGCATTCTTCGACGAAAGAGCCTATGAATTTGGTACAACGAACCTAGGTGCAACGTGTTAAGATCCATTTGACCGATTCAAAAGAACCAAAAGAACGCACTCACTGTTGAACCTGAGCAAAGCTGAAATAAGAGTAATGACAGGAATCATTACTGGCCACTGCAATATCAGGGTTTTTACTAGTAAATGGTCACTGTCCACAAACTAGTGGTGCTCATTTTCTACCGAGTTTAAGCTTCTTTTCAACAACCGATTCTGCTCAAATCTACAGCATAATTAGAAACCTAAAGTGGTTAGGAAAGTGCAACCTTCACACGCAATGCATCTTCTTTCTGATTTCTATAGCCATCGACCTTATTCCAATATTACATTTTTTATATCTTTCTGTAAGCTTCTCATCTTTCTTTATTTCCCCAATCGTCTCTCCCCTATAGATCTGTCCTTATCTCTTTTCTTCTCGCGGACCTAACGCTCACAGAGAGTTGTAGCCACATAAGTGACTGCACATCCCCTAACCTATGACGCCAGTGGACTATGGTCTTACCAGTACATCGTCGCCACAAGATGTTGTCGATGCAGTACCTGCTTGGGTGTTATCGCAGGAATCATCCATGACATTGTCTTATGGATAGAATTTCCCAACTCTTGCATGTAAGCCCCGTATCGCCTCGATTATCTAGAGAGAGATGTCCAACGGTACAAAAGAGAACCACAGGCTTATGGAGCAGGAATTACCAGCATTCACACGCAAGCAGTGACCCAGGCAATGGACTAATACCATGTGAATGCAGTACTTGGAGTCCACCCACCATCTATAGCAGCAGAAGTACGACAGCTGCCTAGACAAACGAGAGTGGTTTTAGCTCAATTAAAATCAGGATGGCCGCCTCAATTCGTATTGGTCCCGAATTGAGAGCGCGGTACCAAACACATGCCCTGTGTGTGAACTTGGACCTCACGATACGCACCATATCTTTAATTTCCCTGCTAAATCCACTCATCTGCCTCCGGAATTTCTTTGGACGCAGTCAATACATATTGCAACCTTCCTGAACCTGGAAACAGAGGAGTCAGAACCGCAATAATGGAAAATACAACAAATATGTAGACAGTTGCTACAACAACAACTGCCACTTTTACTTTTTTCATAAAAAATTTTTTGTTGCACAGTGTTATCACAACTTGTGAACTTTCATGTTCTGTGGAATGTCCTTTTGTTGTAATTGTTGTTTGTGTTTATCGGAATGCTGTTCCGATTTTGATTAATTTTTATTCAAGGTATTTTAATAAAAAAGGCAAATACTCATTGTGTTATTTGTGATTTGTAAATATGTAATTATTGTACTGAAAATGTAATATCAAGGACGTTGGGATTTTGATTGGAAGCATAAAACAAAGGATATTGAAAACAATTGAAATATTTAAATGAACAATTCAAACGGATTTGGAAATGGTTTAAATGCGGAATTCTATCGAAAATTTCAAGAAGGGCAATAATATGCCATGTTTAAGATGTAAATATAAGATATAAATTATAATATTTATAATAAATATGTACCACTCGAATTCGATATTTCTAGGCTTTATGGTCTGTTAAAATAGAATGGAGGGTGCTGCCTTAATTGGTTATGATCTAAATAAAATTTAACAATAAAATATACAAGTTCTAAGGTTTTCCTTAGATTTCTAATTGATTTGATTTTATATTAAGACGATTATTTTTGGCTTATATTTTACGGAGAAAATTGGGCCTTTTGTATGAAACCATAAATTTTAATTTCTATTCATTTTTTTTTGGGAGCTAATCAAGTCTTTGTTATTGTCCAGGCCAACAAATTTTTGATGATTCACCTTAAATTATAGATTACTGGCGAACAATTATTAAATAAACTATTACTATATACAGGATTTGATCTAAAATCAATTCTCAATTTCTCCGTTTATTATACATGCATTCCCATCTCCTCACCATCCACTTATTTTGCTTCCTCTTAAATAACAAACAAATCACTACAACTGGAGGAATTTCGTCGCTTGGCCACGTTAATGGCCTTCTTGAAACGTAACACCGACGACAAGAAGACCTTGGTGCGGCTGGTGAGTTTTGAAACCGTTTTACGATTACAGTCGTTGAGCAATGAATCTTCAGCCTGAGTTTCTCCATAGTGTTGGGCAGTGTCATGGCTCATCATGCCCTTTGAGCTGCCAATACCCGAACTGCTGTCATAGGATTTACGCGACTTGGGCGACGAATTGACACTGCCAAATGGTGTGCGAACATTGGCCGTTGCCTTGTTGCCAATACCTCCCCCTCCGCCACCCCCGGTTAATAGTTCAAATTTACTAATGGGCTTCGCTGCTTGACCATAACCATAGTTGCCGGAGCAGGCCATACGTTGAGCTTCTTCTTCATCCTCCAATTCACTTTCACCCATTTTCAAAATGCTTTCTAAATTCAATGTTCGTTTATTCGGTTTTCGTACAGGGCCAGTTTTTGTTGTACTCGCCGAGGAGAGACTTGTACTGGCCGTACGTTCACTTCCCGTCCCAATGCCTTCATCGCCCATAATATTATTCGATTGATTTTCATCGTGACCCGTATCGTCGTCTTCATCCTCTGCCTGACACATTGACATCTGACGTACCATCCGTCGTGGTGGTGCATAGAGGCGTCGATGTTTTTGTATTGCATTTTGGAGATTTAGTCGCTGTCGATCTTTTTCACTAAGATTTCGTAAACGTTGAGGATTTAATTTAACTTGAGCGACAATGCCCACCAGTAGCTCATCGACATTGTGATCCAAACCGGAGGAGGTTTCAATGAATTTACAGGCTATCTCTTTGGCTACTTTGCGACCCACTGGAAAGAAAACAAGTAGAGATGAAATATAAAGTAGGGAATTGGCTAAAAATAAAAAAGAGGTTAGTCGTGGTGGAACGTAAAAGTAAAAAATGTTAACATTGGCTGTACATGGTGTGGTATAAGTGCTGACCATACTCATACCACCCCATGTACTTCCCAAATATACAGAGCCATCATAAGGAAATTAAAAATTTTAAATAGTCTTGAACAAATATCCTTGGTTTGGTACTTGAAAAAAGTCTTCTTTAATAAATCCACGCCCTGAACAAATCCACGCCTTGTTTTGGTCCTTGAAAAAAGTCTTCTTTAATAAATCCACGCCCTGAACAAATCCACGCCATGTTTTGGTCCTTGAAAAAAATCTTCTTTAATAAATCCACTCCTTGTTTTGGTTCTTGAAAAAAGTCTTCTTTAATAAATCCACGCCATGTTTTGGTCCTTGAAAAAAATCTTCTTTAATAAATCCACTCCTTGTTTTGGTTCTTGAAAAAAATCTTCTTTAATAAATCCACTCCTTGTTTTGGTTCTTGAAAAAGTCTTCTTTAAAAAATCCACGCCTCTTTTGGTCCTTGAAAAAGTCTTCTTTAAAAAATCCACGCCTTTTTTGGTCCTTGAAAAAGTCTTCTTTAAAAAATCCACGCCATTTTTGGTCCTTGAAAAAGTCTTCTTTAAAAATTCCACGCCTTGTTTTGGTCCTTGAAAAAGTCTTCTTTAAAAAATCCACGCCTTTTTTAGTCCTTGAAAAAAATCATCTTTAATAAATCCACGCCTTGTTTTGGTCCTTGAAAAAAATCATCTTTAATAAATCCACGCCTTGAAAAAAAGCATCTTTAATAAATCCACGGATTGTTTTGGTCCTTGAAAAAATTCATCTTTAATAAATCCACGCCTTGTTTTGGTCCTTGAAAAAGGTCTTCTTTAATAAATCCACGCCTTGTTTTGGTCCTTGAAAAAGGTCTTCTTTAATAAATCCACGCCTTGTTTTGGTCCTTGAAAATGGTCTTCTTTAATAAATCCACGCCTTGTTTTGGTCCTTGCAAATGGTCTTCTTTAATAAATCCACGCCTTGTTTTGGTCCTTGAATAGGTCTCTACAAGACCCATTAAATTATTAAGGGGACCCCCATTATCGATTTCAAATATTTATACTTTTCAACCGGCTGGCAGTTGAGGACTCTGTATATAGGTACTTAAAGACTTAAAGTATAAAAAAAATTAAAATCATTACATACTTTGTCGATTCACCTCTCGATGCCGTTCCAAATCAGTCTTATTGCCCACCAGTATGGCACCTCGTGTTAATAGCATTTCATTCTCCTTCAGATATTGTAATATCCTCTCGGCTTGTTTAAATGAATTGCGGTCCACCACAGAATAGACCACGACAAACAAGTCAATGTTGTAGGTGGAACAGAAGGCCTCGGTCTGTAAGGAAAGGAAATGATGAGAATAGAGAGGGGAAATAATGAAGAAAACATGATAAACACAAAACAGGAATTCAATTATTTAAAGACAACAATTTTGTTAGCAACAACACGCACACAGACAAATAAGCAAATAAAGAGATGGATGCTGGATGGACAGGACGACGATGACAGCGTCGATGTGGACTCTGTTGACGAAGATGATGCTGTGAAAATGTGAACATTTTCTTATTAAAAACTATTTAAATGGAAATGTGATTAGCATTCATTTGTCTTGAAGTAAACAAAAACAAGAAAAAAGATAATTATAAGACAATATCCTGAAGGAGCAGGGAAGGAGTCCGGACAATTACAATGGGCCCCCAATATATACATTTTTAAAGTTTATTTTTTTTAATTTTCAAAAAACTTCGATTTGTTGATAATTTTGACATCTAAGTCCAAAACTCCTGAGGACCTCAAATTGTTTACATGCCAATTTTATATATTATATGGAAATTATGGTGTCCTTATGCATATTCATCAGTATGTCCTTCATTATTTGCCTTGTACCACATTTGACCATAACACAATATTAATATTCTCTACTACTAATAAAAACAACTACATCCACAACAATGTGATTAAACAAAAATGTCAATGTCATTGTCCATGACTATAATGGTATTTGTGTTGACAATAATGATGATAACATGCTGACAATAATGTTTTTTCTAAAGTGCGTCCAATGTGTGTGTGTGTGTCGATGTGTGAGAGTGTGTGCCAATGTGTCTGTAGGTTGTTCTAGTACTTGTTTTGCTATTAATATCTCGAAATAAGTTTGTCGTTAACATGACACAGTATTTTTAGAATATTATTAGTAATTTTGGAATATTATGATGTTATGTACATGGACATATTGCCCAGATGGCATATTTGTAATGTAATTAACAACAACGATTGTATTATTGTCTAATGTCCGTATGAATATTACAAATTCTATATCACTAAGAATAATGACAAGGAAATTTAAAGTAAGTGTTTATACAACACTTTCTTTAAACATTAGATCTAAAGATGAGAATTATTATATAGCTTCATAAAACTATATTAGTACATGTAAGGAAAATGCCAAAGTCCTACCCTTCACCAATTGGGATATATGCAAGAGGCCGAAAGTTATCTATTGGGGGATATAACTAAAACTGGTTATACTCTCTGCCTTATGGCTAATATGGGTATATACACTTTTAATTTTATACCTAATGTTTCTCTGGACCAAATCCGTTTCAGGAGTCGATTTAGCAATGTCCGTCTGTACATCGTAATATTTCCTATATCAAACAAAATAAACTAAGGGAACTTATGAAGATCAGTGGCGGGATTCGAAACTATAGTCTTCCCTAACTTACCCATTGGTGGACAATGCCATACTTTCCCCACTAATAAATATTTTTACAAAATAGTCAGGGATTCAGTCTGACTATTTTATAAAACACAATACAAATTGTATCCCAAATAACCCGCCAACACTACAAGTACGAAGATGAGACTCCTTTTGATACCTCCCGTACAATGTAATTTTTATTTATTTCACAAGAAAGTAAACGCTAATACCTTTTACCTTCATTTGAATACCAGCAATGCGAAAAAAGTTATAGCAAAAATGAATGAGGTATGCATTTTGTATAAACCCCATCGCCAGCGCCATCTATTGAGGGGCATGATCAAATCATGCAAATCTGTTTTTAAGTCTAAGCGTATAACTATGGAACAGATAATCGCATTTCAACTAAATTGGTGCCATATGAAAGATTAAATAATCTACTTTACTATGGCCAGCAACAATTCTTATATCAAACATATTAAAATTAAAGAAAACCACATGTCATAGTAAAAAATTAAAAAAAAAAATATTTTTTTCTTAGTTTGCAAAATGTATACAATTATACCTTTCCCTTTCATTTCAATATCTACAGTAGGTCAGAAGTTAAAGGAACAACACATGAATTCTACATTTTGAATAATCGGTGTTTGAAGCTACCCATTCAATAGATGGCGCTGGCGACAAATGTTTGCCAGTACAGACAAATTTAAAAAAAAACATCGGCATTTTAGCTTTTTCTTGACTTTGGAATGCGTAATGATACAGAAATATTTCGAATGGATGTTAGTAGTTTAGAACATACACTACATCACAGTATCAATGATTTTTTGACAGAGTTGCCATGTTAAACGAAAATTACAGCTTTCAAGAGTTGTTAATAGCAGTAGCGGGCCATGCCGATTCACAAGCGATGGGCGTACAATTTTTAATTTATCGTGCATCTCATCAATTTACTGGCAGTACTTTCATCCTGATAACAAGTTCCCTCGTGGATACGGCTGGATCCGCTTCCACTAGAGCCTTCAGTTCATCATTCTTCTCAGACGTTTTGAAAAATCGCCAGCCCGAAATTTTTCGAACCAACGTTGCACTTTCCGATCGTTAACCGTATTCTCCCCAAACGCTTGGTTTATGTTTCGTGCAGCTTTTGCAGCACTATTACCAATTTTGTACTCATATAAGAAAATGACGCGAATGTCGGCAGAATTCATATCGGCAATAAACTCAAAAGAAATGACAAAAGGGAAGACATTCGAGAAAACTTATTTTGCTGAAATGTGTCTCTGGCAATGTACAATACAAATATGAATTTTTTTAGCACTTTTAAACAATATCTAGCATTTTTTTATGAACAAAAATTTGGCAACACTGCATAGCACCCATGTCAAAGTCCCGCCTAATTTTGATAGTTTGAGGGTTTTAGCGTAATTTTCTATCCCAAGTTCTTAGAGCGTGACAAATATCTTTTAAGGGAAGGGAATAACCGATTTCATCCAAACTTTGCCCATTACATTACATTCACCTAAACCACTGTCCACTTTGAGTTTCTCATGTTTGCTGCCCACAAACAATGGCAATGTGAATACATGCCATTGTTCAATAGTTGTTATGTTTAATAATCATAATCGTCAGCAAGGTAACAGAAAGCTGTCAATGCAAATGGAAAAAAACTATGCCATCAGCACTTGGCAATGGCGTGATGTTTCAAGTCCGCACAATTCACTTGCCAAATCGAAGGTAAATTTCTCTGTCATCAGTTTTCTTGTTGTTGTCTACACAGCTGTGTTACTTGTCACAAATTACCTGTGTTTTTATCTGCCGTTTTACTTTTTTCTTCTTGTTAATATCTATTGACAATGGAAATTTGCAAAGTAGAAAAACTTGACCTAGACATATAGTGGCATTACAATGAGAGGTTGGAAGTGTACTACATTAAGCATATTGAAGGTGATCGGTGATAGCAAGACTAATGAAATGAATTTTTGAATGAATTTTGATAATGTAATGGGGGTCGTAAGGGTAATTAAAAATAGGTTGATTACACACACACACGCACTTACCGACATTTCACATGCTGGATGATCAATAATTTCCAAATCTGTTTCAATGCCATCCACCAAAACAGAGACAGTCTTTTGGCCATAATCGTCATCTGCAAAAATAAAGAATTTAAAGATTTTTATATAAAATGACTTCTGAGAATCGTGGACCATTAATGGCGAGAATTTACTCTACAAATAATTTTTCCAGAGCCATTACAGACATTTTTTCAATAAACCCAATGCAGGGAGTGGATTAAATAATTTTTTTCAAGTGCTGGATTTACTAATTTTTTTTTAAGATTTAGATTTATTCATAAATATTTGTTCAATATCAATCCAAGGCGTGGATTTATTCAAAAGTATTTTTTCAAGGACCTCAATGCAAGGCCTGGATTTACTCAAAAATATTTCTTCAAGGACCTCAATGCAAGGCGTGGATTTATTCAAAAATATTTTTTCAAGGACCTCAATGCAAGGCCTGGATTTATTCAAAAATATTTCTCAAAAAAAAATATTTTTTCAAGGACCTCAATGCAAGGTGTGGATTTATTCAAAAATATTTTTTCAAGGACCTCAATGCAAGACGTGGATTTATTCAAAAATATTTTTTTAAGGACCTCAATGCAAGGCGTGGAATTTTTCAAAAATATTTTTTCAAGGACCTCAATGCAAGGCGTGGAATTACTCAAAAATATTTTTTCAAGGACCTCAATGCAAGGAGGTATTTATTCAAAAATATTTTTTCAATGACCTCAATGCAAGACGTGGATTTATTGAAAAAGGACTTCAATGCAAGGCGTGGATTTATACAAAAATATTTTTTTAAGGACCTTAATGCATCAGCGGTTACAGATTATTTTTGCAAGGCCCTTTCCTCTCATACTTTTGGTCCTTTCATCTCATTGACTCAATTCAGAACCATTAAAAAAGTCAAAAGTTGATGATTTTCACATTTCACATTCTTTCATGGAATTTTCAAGGATCTCAATGCAAGGCGTGGATTTATTCAAAAATATTTTTTCAAGGACCTCAATGCAAGGCGTGGATTTATTCAAAAATAGTTTTCAAGGATCAACTAAGGCGTGGATTTATTCAAAAATAGTTTTCAAGGATCAACTAAGGCGTGGATTTATTCAAAAATAGTTTTCAAGGATCAACTAAGGCGTGGATTTATTCAAAAATATTTTTTCAAGGACCTCAATGCAAGGCGTGGATTTATTCAAAAATATTTTTTCAAGAACCTCAATGCAAGGAGGTATTTATTCAAAAATATTTTTTCAATGACCTCAATGCAAGACGTGGATTTATTCAAAAATATTTTTTCAAGGACCTCAACGCAATGAGGGATTTATTCAAAAATATTTTTTCAAGGACCTTAACGCAAGGAGGGATTTATTCAAAAATATTTTTTCAAGGACCTTAACGCAAGGAGGGATTTATTCAAAAATATTTTTTTTAAGGACCTCAATGCAAGGCGTGGATTTATTCAAAAATATTTTTAAGGACTTTTAAAAGGCGTGGATTTATTCAAAAATATTTTTAAGGACTTTTAAAAGGCGTGGATTTATTCAAAAATATTTTTTCAAGGACCTCAATGCAAGGCGTGGATTTATTCAAAAATATTTTTTCAAGGACCTCAATGCAAGGCGTGGATTTTTTCAAAAATATTTTTTCAAGGACCTCAATGCAAGGCGTGGATTTTTTCAAAAATATTTTTTCAAGGACCTCAATGCTTTAATGCCTTATTTTATTCTAGTACAGATTATTTTTGCAAGGTCCTTTCCTTTCATACTATTTTACTCAATTAAAATTATTTTTTTGCTGCACTGACTCAATTTACAACCATTGAAAATAGTCAAAAGTTAATGATTTTCACATTTTCCAGTTTTTCGTGGAAGTTGATCCGACTATGGACTACTTTGTCAATGCATGAAGTGGTCTGTCAAAAGTTATATAATGTATGTATTTATTTTTTGCGAAACGTTGCATCATCATTGGCTCGACCATAATAAGTCTATCAATTACTGAAGTGAACGGTAGTGAAGAGAATGTCAATCATTTTGGGTTAAGTGGACAAAGGATTTCGATGATAAAATGATAAAAAGTCGGATTGAATGAAAAAATCAATTTACTGGCAATGCATTTTGGAGAAAATGAAAATAATTAAATTTATTTACCATTTGACTGCCGTAATAAAGAGAAACAATTGATATTTGATAAAGGATCAAGGTATAAAAGTCTTAATTATTTTTAAAGAGCCTCTCTTATGGAAAATATGGAAAGACTGATCTATGGGAAAATATTCTTTTATAAATCCTCCCTCTTTTGGTCCTTTATAAAAGATTCTTTTGTAAATCCTTCCTCTTTTGGTTCTTTATAAAAGATTCTTTTGTAAATCCTTCCTCTTTTGGTCCATGAAAAAGTCTTCTTTTGTAAATCCTTCCTCTTTTGGTTCTTTATAAAAGATTCTTTTGTAAATCCTTCCTCTTTTGGTCCATGAAAAAGTCTTCTTTAATAAATCCATGCCTTGTTTTGGTCCTTGAAAAAAGTCTTTTTTAATAAATCCACGCCTGTTTTGGTCCTTTAGAAAATATTCTTTAATAAATCCACGCCTGTTTTGGTCCTTTAGAAAATATTCTTTAATAAATCCACGCCTGTTTTGGTCCTTTAGAAAATATTCTTTAATAAATCCATGCCTTGTTTTGGTCCTTGAAAAAAGTCTTCTTTAATAAATCCATGCCTTGTTTTGGTCCTTGAGAAAATATTCTTTAATAAATCCACGCCATTTTGGTCCTTGAGAAAATATTCGTTAATAAATCCACGCCTTTTTGGTCCTTGAGAAAATATTCTTTAATAAATCCACGCCTTTTTGGTCCTTGAGAAAATATTCTTTAATAAATCCACGCCTTTTTGGTCCTTGAGAAAATATTCTTTAATAAATCCACGCCTGTTTTGGTCCTTGAAATAAGACTTCTTTAATAAATCCACGCCTTTTTGGTCCCTGAGAAAATATTCTTTAATAAATCCACGCCTTGTTTTGGTCCTTGAAAAAATATTGTTTAATGAATCCACGCCTTGTTTTGGTCCTTGAGAAAGTATTGTTTAATGAATCCACGCCTTTTTGGTCTTAATATTTTAATAAATCCTCTCTTTTTTGGTCCTTGAGAAATTAATCTTTAATAAATCCAATACTTTTTTAATAAAAAAAGTATTTTTAAAAATTTCGCCATAAATGTATCCTGTATGTAATCTTCGCCCTCTATATTGACGTGAATTGACTACAAATATTACACTCACCTAAATCACTTTTCTATCGAGACTATTCATTGGCTTCATACATGTGTGTAATTTACATGTTCCAGCCGTTAACTGTAAATGAACAGATTTGTTTGATAAGCAAACAAATTTCAGGTAACGTTTCCGCCTGTTTTTTTTTTTTCTTCTACGAATGGCACATGCTATGGCCCCTGTGGCCCCAGCAATTAGAAATGTATACACATGACATACAGAATGGATAGAAATCGGTGTATTAAAGGGTTATTGAATTGGGGCTAAAAAAAGATACGAAAATATATTACTCCACAACCTCGAAAGAAGTTTCCTTGGTATGAGAAGAATAGTAAGGCAAACCATATTTTTTCAAAATCATATTCTATATAAAATAACCCTTTCCGCACTTTCTGATAAGTCAACATTTGTTAGCACAACTATTACCACAAAAAAAAAACTATAAACAAAAAATATAAATTCAAATGACATGATGCCTCCTGTATTCCCCTCTCAGCTTAGTTAGAATTTTATATAAAACAAACAACAAACCACCGGTTACCACCTAACAACCTGAACCTAGAAAATAAATTCATAAGCTAACGGTGAAACTGTGCACAGCGATAACTGTGAAAAAAAAGACACGAAACCTCAAAACCTAATGAAATTTCCAATGTAAAACATGGCCATTAAAAAAGGTGAAGTTCTGGAAAGAAGGTCGTTATGTTCGGTGGCCCAGTTTTTCCAACCATTTAAAAGGTAAGTTTATTGTGTGATTTTTAGTTTCCTTTTTTTGCAACTGCATAACAGGGTAAATTCATGCTCGCGTAAAACTGGAATCAATGAATGCAAAATGTTGGTCGGATTTTTAAGAGCATACCAAAGCCGTAATTGGTTTTGGGAAACTATTTCAAACATCCAATGTAAGGACTATAACAAGGGTAAATTTATTAAAGAATATTTTTCAAGGGCCAACTGAGGCGTGGATTTATTAAAGAATATTTTTCAAGGGCCAACTGAGGCGTGGATTTATTAAAGAATATTTTTCAAGGGCCAAACAAGGCGTGGATTCAAGGGCCAAACTGAGGCGTGGATTTATTAAAGAATATTTTTCAAGGGCCAACTGAGGCGTGGATTTATTAAAGAATATTTTTCAAGGGCCAACTGAGGCGTGGATTTATTAAAGAATATTTTTCAAGGGCCAACTGAGGCGTGGATTTATTAAAGAATATTTTTCAAGGGCCAACTGAGGCGTGGATTTATTAAAGAATATTTTTCAAGGGCCAACTGAGGCGTGGATTTATTGAAGAATATTATTTTTTTAAGACCCAAACAAGGCGTGGATTTTTTAAAGAATATTTTTTTAAGACCCAAACAAGGCGTGGATTTTTTAAAGAATATTTTTTTAAGACCCAAACAAGGCGTGGATTTTTTTAAGACCCAAACAAGGCGTGGATTTTTTAAAGAATATTTTTTTAAGACCCAAACAAGGCGTGGATTTTTTAAAGAATATTTTTTTAAGACCCAAACAAGGCGTGGATTTTTTAAAGAATATTTTTTTAAGACCCAAACAAGGCGTGGATTTTTTAAAGAATATTTTTTTAAGACCCAAACAAGGCGTGGATTTTTTAAAGAATATTTTTTCAAGACCCAAACAAGGCGTGGAGTTTTTAAAGAATATTTTTTCAAGGCTCAAACAAGGCGTGGATTTTTTAAAGACCCAAACAAGGCGTGGATTTTTAAAGAATATTTTTTTGGAAGAACCCAAACAAGGCGTGGATTTTTTAAAGAATATTTTTTTAAGACCCAAACAAGGCGTGGATTTTTTAAAGAATATTTTTTT